GATGGCAGACGTCCCATCCCCCCCTCTATGTCCTACTTGAGATAAAAAAAACTGGAAAATGTGGAAAATGCCCCCCTCACCCCTCTCCCCCTCCAAGAAAAGCTAGGAATGCAATAGCTGACTCGACACTGTATCATGACTGAAGCAAAATTTAAATATAAACAAGGGGAAGAGTAACCTTGCTCTCTCAATATATAGAATATAGATAGATACAGGGCTTCAAAAAATAGTTCTACCTCTGCAATTTGGCTAGCTGCAGAAAACATCCAAAAAATTCATTTATTTTCATTTTCAAAATTAGCCATAGTGTGATTGAAGGATGGACAAGGAATGGAAGATCAAGAAGAAAGAATGAAAAACAAGAAATACAGAAGTCTCAAAATGTTTCCATCTGATATCATATTAAAATTTAAAAATATTGTAAAATTTAATTAAAATAAATTATTAAAGTTAAAAGAACAGGAATTTAGGAACAATAAAAAGATTGTTCAGGAATTAGAAACAAAAATAAAGGATTAGGACAGGGATTTAGGAACAATAAACAGATTGTTCAGGAATTAGGAACAAAAATATAGGATTAGGCAAATAGATTATCAAGTACAATAGGTGGCAACAGAGAAATCAAACAATTATGCACTACGTCACAAGTGTCAAATATAACAAGGAAAACAAAATTTTCTCAAATTATTATATATAATATTGTGACTTGAAGATCTCAGGTGAGCTCAATCTACCAGATCCACAGTGTTTGCTGAGGGAAAAGTGGTTGGCTTCAAACCCCATTATTGTACACATGGCGCAGGGTTTAGGAGGACGGAATCTCTGTGGGTCAGAAGAATTCAGAGGCCGAGGTTTAGGTTTAGAGGTTCCCTGTCCAACCACTTTGACTCCTATGTTTGAGAGAGCAAGGTCGAGGTCATAGAGATAAGGAGTGGATCGATAACTCTTCTCCAATTCGTCCACAAATTGGGCTAGGAATAAGAATGTGGCCGGAGATCAGACATTGTCCGGACACTGTTTGCGGAACCTGGAGAATTGGTCGTTGAAAGATGGTCTCACTTCTATGGGCAAGCTCTTCATAATGTTCTGTACCAGAGACTGGGTGAGAGCAACGTTGTGAAGATTCTCCTTGTTGTGGAAGTTCTCCATGATGTTCAGGTTAGCCTGTAGGGTCTTGATCTTGGGGGAGAGGTCCTCGGCGACATTGAAGACGACATTTTACAGAGGTCTTAAATTAATGGTTAACAAATATTTGTGCAGACCTGCTTCACTAATTTAGTGGGTTAATAGATGTCCAGTAAAACCAAAGATTTTGCTAATTAAAGATATAGCGAATCAGAAAATCTACGCAAATTTGAAGCATTTTCTGGGGTAGAGAAAGATCGTAACAAACGTCGTCTTCTCCAGAAATTCTACCAACTCTATGTATTTACCAAGCTGACGTTTCATAATGTCGTCTTTTGAAATTGTTACGAATTAAATAGTTATTTGAAAACAAAACAAGGAAACAACTTTAGTTTTTCTAGCTTGAAATATTTAATTTGTCCATAAAAGTTACTGCAGGAAAGACAATGAACATAATTTACAGAATTCATCTCTTTTAAAGTTGAAATAACGACGATATCTTCCTCATTGTTATTCAGATAAATGTTTAAATGGTACCGTTGCTGATAGAACCTTTAATGGGTTGGTAACTTACATTTATCAGTCCCTTAGAACATTTACTTTTGGTTTGAAGTATTTTAATAGTAATCAATTATCTCATTACTTTTTCAATTAAGATTGAATTCTCTCTCTACCTGATTTAAATAAATTATTGATAAATATAACGTCATAATATTTATTTCACCATGTAATAGTTTTTGCAAAATTGGGATCTTTCAGCGTAAGGAATTCATATGATCCAGTTAAAGAGCCTTTATCCAAACTTATTTCTTTTTGGATCTGCTGGTATTGTAAACGCAGACTCTTCTATTCTTGGTTGGCTTGGCAGTTGGGTATCATACATGTTACTTTGCTAGGCAGTGGCACCGATGAACCTGAATTTATCAGAATTGTTCATTGAACATAAAACTCCGGAATTTGAAGACGAAATTTAGACAATCTGCGTGTCCACTTCTCAATTGCGGTATTTTATGTTCATTGAACTATTTAATCAAAAATTGAGTCTAAAAGTCGTCTTTATATTCCCCAGTTTTATTTTCACCAATGTATTTCTTTAATCCACCTTTTTAAAATCCTCCAATAATTCATGCCTCAAAACTATTGTATTCAACTTAAAAGACTCTATGTAAAAGGTCGTCCATTAATTCGCATTTTTAACGAAACTTTCTGTGATATTTTTTTCTTTAATGGTGGATATTTTAAAACATAATCCCCATAAATCAATTGAGGAGTAAGATTAATACATTCATTTATGCGATATTATTTCTTTGCCTGAGATTAAACAGAAGACGACATTGACAAAAATATTTACCGTTAATAATATCGGATATTCCTGGTCCCCTCTCTTCTTCATCGCCTAAAATTCCATTCCACAGAATTTTCAAATTTTCAATTATTGGATATTTTTACTACAAAAGAGATGCGTAACTATATCACAAATTCAGCTATAATTCACCAGATGATCTTCATATCCAACAAATGATCAAATAAATTTTAAAATACAAATTAATATCATTAATTTTGGTTAATTTTTAGCACAAAACATTCACAATAGTGTTAGATAACTAAGGTTTTAATGTCGATCGTTAGACTCTCTAACAACCAAAATAACCAATGACGTCAAAATACATTTGTAAAGGCGAACACAATACAGCTGTACAGGCTTATACAATACAGCTGTACAGGCGTACACAATACAGCTGTACAGGCTTATACAATACAGCTGTACAGGCGTACACAATAGTCGGATAAATTTCCAACTCGGCGTCTTTATAATTAGCAAAATTAATAAAACTATTTGCTTTGTAACAACATCAAAGTATTGCTATAATGTCGTCTTACTATTTCATTGTTATTGAGTCCCCGGAGTTCTCCATAAAGTCCCAATGTCCTAAGTAGTCCCCATAGAGACCCCATGAAGTTTTCATGGAGTCTCCGGAGTCCCCATGGAGTCCCCATGAAATTCTCATGAAGTCACCAGAGTTCCCATGAAGTCCCCATGGAGTCCCCATGGAGTCCCCATGAAGTCCCCATGAAGTCCCCATGAAGTCCCCATGAAGTCCCCATGAAGTCCCAATGGAGTTCCCATGGAGTCCCCATGGAGTCCCCATGAAGTCCCCATGGAGTCCACTTGGAGTCCCGATGGAGTCCCCATGGAGTCCAAATGGAGTCCCCACGGAGTCCATATGGAGTCCCCACGGAGTCCATATGGAGTCCCCATGGAGTTCTCATGGAGTCCCACGGAGTTTCCCTTTGAGTCCCCCTGGAGTCTCCATGGAGTTCTCATGGAGTTCTCACTAAGGTATATGGAGTTCTCATGGAATCCCTATGGAGTCCCCATAAAGTTCTAATGGAGTCCCCGGAGTTCCCCATTGAGTCCCCATGAAATCCCCTTGGACTTCACTTGGAGTCTTCATGGAATCCCCATGGAGTCCCCATGAAGTTTTAATGGAGTCCCCATTGAGTCACCATGGAGTTCTCATGGAGTCCCCATTGAGTCCCTATGGAGTTCTCATGGAGTTCCCATGGAGTCCCATTGAGTCCCCATGGAGTTCTCATGAAGTCCCCATTGAGTCCCATGAATGTAGCAACAGTTGAAGCTTATTGCAATTTACAACGTATCTTGTTCATATAGTAATAATGTAAACCCTGTATTGCGATTAACCCATTCCATATTCGATATAGATATAACTCCGTCATATTGTGATTGCCTATTACGTATATATATTAACCACGCATAAGACATAACTTGTACTTATGCGGTTAATACCCCAACTTTATAAATATTAACTACGAAATATAACTCCGTACTGTTTACTGCGTGAAAGTAAACCTGAAACCCTGAAGCTTGTATTCAGGTAGTTCGTACTCGTTGATATCGGGATCGCTAAAGAGCTTGTTATATAGCTTGGCTTGTGTCCTTGTGTGGCATTCAGAGCAGTAGATCGTACCCCTTCTTTGGGATCGACAGATTAGCCGTGTGTCCTTGTGTGACATTTTGGGATCGCTGCAGTTAACTTGTTGTATAGCTTGGCTTGTGTTCTTGTGTGGCATTTAGAGCACCATGTTAGTAGTTGTATTTTGATAGCTAAGCTTGTGTCCCCGTGTGGCATTTAGACTCTGGGATTCAGTACTGTTAGAGTTTGCTAACGGACGAACCTGGATAGATATGTTTCCAGAAATTGTTATGGAGTAGGGATTTACTACATGGAGCCCCCATGGAGTTCTCATGGAGTTCTCAAGAAGTTCCCATGGAGTTATCGAGTTACCATGGAGTTCTCATGGAGTCCCCATGGAGTCTCCATGGAGTTCTCATGGAGTACCCATGGAGTTCTTATGGAGTCCCGATGGAGTTTTCATTGGGTTCCCATGAAGTTCTCATAAAGTCGGAATTCTCATGAAGTTCTCATAGAGTCTCCATGGAGTTCTCATGGAATCCCCATGGAGTTCTTATGGAGTTCTCACGGAGTCCCCATGACGTTTTCATGGAGTTTTTATAGAGTCCACATGGATTTCTCATAGTTCTCATGGATTCCCCATGGAGTTCTCACAGTTCTCATGGAGTCCCCATAGAGTTCTCATAGTGTCCCCAAGGAGTTCTCATGGAGTTCTCATGCAGTTTTCATGGAGTTCTCATGGAGTCTCCATGGAGTTCTCATGGCATCCGTGTCCTCGAATCAAGTGTCCGTGTCCTCGAAAAAATCATCTGATATTTAAACTCCAACTCAAGCTAAATTTGATCAGTTTTAGACTTGAGCTGAAATATGCTGGAGTTTAAACTAATCCTATTTATAATCTTAAATAATAACCTTGCAGAAACTCAAGGTAAAATAACTGCTACTAGCACTACAGAAACTGAAGGTAAAATAATTACTACTACAACTACAGCAACTGAAGGTAAAATAACTACATCTACAACTACAGAAACTGAAGGTAAAATAACTAACATCTACAACTACAGAAACTAAAAGGTAAAATAACTACTTCTACAACTACAGAAACTGGAGGTAAAATAACTACTTCCAACTACAGAAACTGAATTTAAAATAACTACTTCAACAACTACAGAAACTGATAGTAAAATAACTACTTCTACAACTACAGAAACTGAAGGTAAAATGACTACTACTACATCTATTGAAACTAAAGGTAAAATAACTACTACTAACACGACAGAAACTGAAGCTAAAATAACCACTACTACAACTACGGAAGCTGAAGGTAAAATAACTACTACTACCAATATAGAAACTGAATGTAAAATGACTACTACTACCAATATAAAAACTGAATATAAAATAACTACTACTACAACTACAGAAACTGAAGGTAAAATAACTACTTCTACAACTACAGAAACTGAAGGTAAAATAACTACTACTACAACTACATCAACTAAAAGTAGACTAACTTCTACTACAACTACAGGAACTGAAGGTAAAATAACTATTTTTACAACCACAGCAACTGAAAGTAAAATAACTACTTCTACGACTACAAAAACTGAATGTAAAATAACTACTTCTACAACTACAGAAAGTGAATGTAGAATAACTACTTCTACAACGACAGAAACTGAAGGTAAAATAACTACTACTACAACTACAGAACCTGAAGGTAAAATAACTACTTCTACAACTACAGAAACTGAAGGTAAAATAACTACTACTACAACTACAGAAACTCAAGGTAAAATAACTACTACTACAATTACAGAAACTGAAGGTAAAATAACTACTTTTACAACTACAGCTACTGAAAGTAAAATAACTATTTCTACGACTACAGAAACTGAATGTAAAATAACTATTACTACAACTACAGAAACTGAATGTGAAATAACTACTTCTACAACTACAGAAAGTGAATGTAAAATAACTACTTCTACTACGACAGAAACTGAAGGTAAAATAACTACTACTACAACTACAGAAATTGAATGTAAAATAACTACTACTAACACTACAAAAACTGAAGGTAAAATAACTACTTCTACAACTACAGAAACTGAAGGTAAAATAACTACTTCTACAACTACAGAAACTGAAAGNACCCTTATGCAGTCAAAACATAAACAAACAAAATGTGAACATAGCAGACGAAACTCTTAAAGATTACAGCTTTCTCAGTAGGTATCACTATACTAAATCAAAGAATTATTTGAATAGACGACATCGAATTCTTCACTGAATTCCCATATTTATTGGGACACCCTGTACCTCTACACTCGATAAAATATTTGTTATAGATGTTTGTATGCAGACAGAGTGCTTCTTGCCTGGATATGACTTAGCGGGGCAGGATATTGGTAGCAGATATATATTATTTTTGCCTAAATTTACTCTTTACTAAAATTCTATGTTTCAGTATCAAAAGTGCCAGTACCTTCTCCTGAGGAGTGTAGCTGTTTCTGCAAAAATAATTACAGGAAACTTCAATATTAACATACTCGATTTGAGGATAAACTGAGCTGTATCTAATGTAAACACTTTTGATTTTATTCTTAGTTCTCTTTTTTGGATATCTCTACTGTATAAAAGTTACGTTTGATAACAATTACAGATACAATCCTACATCGATTGAACTAATATATCCGACTGCTTTTAGAGCATTTAAGCAAATATAAATTTAATCGTGTTAATATGAACTTATTAAAAAATATTTTTTATCACATTTTAGGACAATTATCATTTTAAACGTTTATAGTCTAAACATTTATTAATCCAAAACTTACATTTATTTAATCGATGTTTAGGTCAATTGATATGACACAATTAACACCAGAAAAAAACGGGTTTTCAAAAGTTAAAGAGTACATCTCAACATGATACGCTAATTGGTTGAATTTTATACTTCTTCCTTGAATATGGAATGCGTATGAAAATAATCTTGGGTTTAGTAAAACCAGGAGTTTAACCCTATTCCTGCTGGGGGGGGGGGGGTCAATTTGACCCCCTCCCTGTAGTTTTTTTTTACATAACTCAAAAAGTATTGGTCTCAGGCTGTTGAAATTTTCTGACTTTTCCTACATACCTAAAGCCCTCCCTTTAGGCCTAAAACCGGGCTTTAATACTAACTGCCTGAGTCCTCAGGCACACTGCCTGAATGACTGTTTTTTCCTGTAACAAACTAAATCTTTGTTTTGACCCACTTCCACTTGTCAGATTTTGATAAAATTTAGCTTTTTGGAAAGCCTTTGACATAAGGAAACGAATTGCACAAGTTTTGCGAAAAAAATTGCACTTTTTTTGCAAACAACCTGTCTAAGGAAATTTTCACATTTTTAGTTTTTCTTGATTAAAAATTTGGTTATTTAAAATTTTGTAAAAATTTTGCCATATTGAAATGGCATGGTCAAGGGCTTTTCAAAAATGTATAATTTTTCATTTTTTGGACAAATTTTATTTTGCAAACATTTTTACTATATAACTGGATTTTGCGATAAAAAATTCTATTTTTGCAAATTTGCAACTTTTTTGCAGATTCTAAAAGTAGAGCACAAGAGCTTTCCAATGATGTATCATTTGTCATATTTGGACATCAAACATGGGATTTAGAGGGGGGGGGTCAAATTGACCCCCCCCCCCCAGCATATCCTGGTTTTCAAGTACCCCAGCAGAGATAGGGTTAAGCATTAATCTTGATATCCATCATTCTATAGTTTTCAGCTTTGTAAATATAACATCATATATTATATATAGCATACTATATTTGATATTTAAGATATTACAAATGGAAATATCAAAGTTATAAGTTTTGAAGAATGCAACGTTTGCTTTTCACAATTTATTACTTCATGTACTTTAAGTTTAATTGGAAGTTTTTAAAAGTTGGAGTGTGAGTTTTGTATGGTCTGCTGGCGGATGCTGGTGTAAACGTGCAATTCCGCCAGCAACTATTCATCCGGAAGTTATCGCTGGGATTTTCAATTGCTCCTCGAGCAAAACTGATGTCACTGGACTAAGGCAAAAAGGTTGTGAATTATGATCAAAAATTAGATTTTATGAAAGTTTTTGGTTGTGATTAGATCCCCAGACAAACAATATTCTGACAAACAATATTCTGACAAACAATATTCTGACAAACAATATTCTGACAAACAATATTCTGACAAACAATATTCTGACAAACAAATTCCTGGCAAACGAAAATTATTCTGACAGACAAGTTCCTGGCAAACAAACTCCTGAAAAACAAAATACTGACAAACAAAACGAGTCCTGAAATACACCTTAAAAACAGAATCCTGCCAGACAATCCCAATTTTTGGATTTTTAAATCCAACTTGAATATCTATATCTCCAAGTAGAAAATTATAATAGTTCCTTTTAAGTTTTAAGGGACTGTAATGTAACACGCGTAATTACAAGTGACCCTCCACAAAAAAGAGGGCAATGTCCGATATACCCTTTAATTAAAATCCTTATATTTAAACCTTTGACTGTTCATCGAGAAAAGAGATATTTTCGATTCAAAATCATGAAACCCACTTGAATCCCATCTAAAAGTAGGGCTGGGTAAAGTTCCATAAAAAAACGGAGTTTTTAGAAAATTAATGGAAGAGTTCATTAACGAACGGCAAAAACCGTTAATTTTTAAATCGTTAACGAAACAGATTAGCCGTTTTTAAAGAAAAAAATTAACGGTTAAAACATTAACTAAAAGGCTAAAAACGGTAAATTTTCTGATTAAAATTTTGAATTTAATTTTAATTTAAATATTATGCGTTTTGATGATTTCAAATGTTGTCTTCTGTGTTTACACACCGTCAACAATTTTTTTTTCGGCCGTTAACACTGTTAGTACTGTAATACACCATTAAAAATTGTGCCGTTAATGATTTTTTTAACGGTACTATTAACGACTAGAGTCATTAAGGATTGTTGAAACTTTTCCATTAACGCGGTTAATAAAAATGAGATCGTTAACTAATAGTAATTTTAAAAAAACGGAAAATGCCGTTCTTGGAACGGACGTTCCGTTCTTACCTTTAAAAATTTTATCTCAAAGGGTTGGAATTAACCGTTAACGAAACGGCTAGAAAAAGTTGGAACGTGCACAGCCCTATCTAAACGCAGTGTACACAGTGTGTACAGTTTAACCTATTGACCTATACACTGCGCTTATTGTATAATTTGACATTTCCAAATATTTAGAATTAAAAACAGTGTCCAAAACTTCTAGAAAATTAATGTTAATATTTTCAAAGCTTCAAACAGGAGTTTGTCCATCTATAAGTTTAATTTTCAGGAAATTGCCTCCCAACATGGCGCCAATCAAACGCATTCAAGAATTAAATAGATCATCAATATATTTCTAGATTGTCCTGGAGTAAAATACTGTCCTAAATATGGCGTTGAATATGAAGGGAGTAGTATTATAGAAGGTATTTAATATAGATGAATAATTACAGAAACTTTTTACAAATCTTCAATCAGACACATTTTGAGATTTTCATATTTCCTTATTGTTAAAGCAATTTTCTTTGTCAAAAACTCTGATTTTCTTATCCCTATATCTTTGCAACCCAATGTCGTTGACCTCAGATATTTCAAACTATGAATTGAATCCAACAATCTAAATTTGAAATATCAAAGGTTTACACCATTAGGTTGAAAAAATCTAAATTTGAAATATCAAATGTTTACACCATTAGGTTGAAAAAATTAAGGAATAAGAAAATTTCAGTTAGTGGCACAGAATTAATTTTCCCTAATCAATAATCTTGCGTTGGATTACATCCAAGTCTTAGAATTGATGAACCAGTATATCTAATGTTATTATTTTAGTTGGAGGAATTGAAACTTTTGATCTTTGTGGATGTCAATGTAGTCGAGTCAGGTTTAACCATTTAACTCTTTTCAATGACTCCTTTTTAATACTTTTATTTTTAAACAGTTTGTTTATGGTTTTCATGAATTTTTAAACCTCTCTTATCCAAACAAATATTTATTCTTTACAACTTTATACTAAAATCTGAAATATTACATTAAAGGGAGTGTTCGTGAAAAATGAAAGGGGGCATAAGCTGATTTCAATTGAAATTTGGTATTAATTGCTACTAATTTTACTTTAATTTGTTCCTTATGCGGAAAAAATGGTCCAACCCGCATTATACCCAAGAGTGTTAGAGTCCATATAAATCTACGGAGTTAAAACCCGTAAATAAATCAATTCAATTTAAAACAAATCATATAGATATTCCAAGTTATAAATATTGAATTCAATTTGGTGCATTCATATGAAGTAAACATATCATATTCTATAATTTTTATATATGATGTACTTTGGACGATGATTACTTGTCACTAGTAAAGTTTAATAAAGTACAGAATGAAAACTTAATTGAGTTATAACCAGGGGGCGGGCATAACTCTCCTAATTTTGCCTGGCTAGGTTTATACTGTACAGTGAATTTTGTCGAAAAATGTTTCCTTATGACTGAGTTGGTATCATAGAGTACAGTGGGTTTAATCCTAAGTACATCTATTTGTACGGTATTGTGTGGAGTGTGGACAGTTAATTTTAAAGAATTTGATAAGAAACAAGATTTTATTAAAGGAGAAGGATTTTATTTTTTTCTCTATTTGTCATGTCTCATTTTTATACAAAAATCATATGGGCTTGTTTTCTTTGCTAGAATATTGTAGGCTTCACTTTCAAACTATAATATCTTTAAACACTGATCTACGAATTATGATCCCCCCAGGTAGAATTTCTGATTGGGTCATTGTGTACAGTGGCTGTACAACAAGAAGTCTAAAATTCCAGATGCCCCCTCTATTACTAATATCTCAATGGTTATAACACTATATGCACACAAACTATAGTTATACGTTAGACGTAATATGTAATAATAATACTAAATAATTAAACATGATCAGAGTAGATATGAAAGGCTTCAGAGGTTTCTCCGCCTCGGTCAACGGTAGGCCAAATTTTTTAAATCGTGGGTTCAGGAGTTCTAACGGTAATTCTAGCTTGGCTTTATTCTGATACTAGGTATGAGCATGGCTCTATTTTTAGACTTTCTAGCGGACATCTAAGCTCCGTTTTAAGTTTATTTTCAAAATTTCTAATGAACAACTAAACTCCAGCTTGTGTCTTGAGTCAATAAAAATAATATAATCAAAAAGATTATAATATTTAAACTGCATACGAATGCCCCAAATCAAATTTTACACTAATAACGTTTAATATCTAAAACATTAGTTCTAAATTTAATTGATTTTATTTGATGATAGAAGCAGAATTAGCCTATACCCATTTCATTCATCGCAAACACTCCCTTTATATCTACGTATGTAAATCTTTCAGTGCCTGTAAACATTTTTTCTGGACCCAAGCTGGAACTTGTTTCTTAAAACAAGATGGACTTGGAGGAGAAAATATTTCTGCTCCTCATGGTATTTCTGGACGCATTCAGACGGAATGCACTCCTCCTACAACAAGTATAACTTTCTGCGAATATTTTGAATTTATATAAAAAAATTATTAAATTTTTTAGGTTTGCCGCAAACTTCGATTTTCCATTCCCTATATCTTTGCAACCCAATGTCGTAGACTTTAGATATTCCTAACTTTAGATTCTGTTAAGTTGAATAATCTAAATTTGAAATATAAAAGTGTACACCGTTAGGTTTTAAAGTTTTATAAACTAAAGTAAATTGCATGCAGGATTGAAATATGTTTTCAATTAATACACCTCTTATTGAAAAGCTATCAAGAAGAACAAAAATGGTTTGAATTTCTTTTATATAATTGGTTAAATTTGCTTTTATTATAATCGGTTAAATTTGCTTTTATATAATCGGTTAAATTACTTTTATATAATCGGTTAATTACTTTTATATAATCGGTTAAATTTACTTTTATATAATCGGTTAAATTTACTTTTATATAATCGGTTAAATTTACTTTTTCATACTTGTGAATGAATCAAAAATGGGAATAACTAGGAGGCATAAATTCGCATAAGAAAATGAGGCATTAATTAATTACACCTTGCCTTAAGTTTCATATAAGAATACAGATTTAATTTTTCTAGAAAACACTGAAACAACTACCCCTGCAGAGTGTAGTTGCTTCTGTAGCAAAACAAGGAAACTTTCTTCATTTTATCAATTTAATACTTTCTGTAGAATATTTCTATTTTTAAATATATGTTTGGCAAAAAAAATTATTTCAAAATTTAATTTTAAGGAATTCATTAAGAAAACTAATCTATCGCCTTAAATTCCAATTTAATCTTCAAATCATTGCAGCCTGAAGGCATAAAATCTTTAATATCTTAAATATTGACTTCTGATCTCGCAGAATCTTGTCTACAGTTTCATGTTGCAAAGGTATAGGGTTTGAAGCAAGAAATCAGATTTTTAAACTTAAATGAAGTTGTGGTTTTAGTAAAAGTGTAAGTTTTGCCTGGTCCCCAACTGGGAACTGCTGGTGCAAGAATACAATTCCAACAAAAAGTAGAAATGATCAACGAATCTCAGGAATATTTAACTGTTCCTCAACCCATGTCAATGTTCCAGCAATCACACAAAATGGTAATTAATTATTTGACATTAAAATTTATAATTTTTTTAAAGAGACCCCACCCTCACCCTTGGAGCAGAATCTGACGGTAGTAGTTGGGTTTAACTACCCCAACTACTATAGAAAGACCCCACCCCCACTCTTGAAGCAGAATCTAAATGGCAACTACCCTTACTACCCCAACTACTGTCTGCTTTTAGAGAGACCCCTCCCCCAGCCTGAATCTGAATCTGAATGGCAACTACCCTTACTACCCCCCCTATCGCCTGTCTTTAGAAAGACCCCACCCACACCCTTGAAACTAAATCTGAATGGCAACTACTCTTACTACCCCAACTACCGTCTGTTTTTAGAGAGACCCCACCCCCACCCTTGAAGTTGAATCTGAATGGCAACTACCCTTACTACCCCAAATACCATACGTCTGTATTTAGAGAGACCCCACCCCACTCTTTGATTATTCTTTGCGCATGGTATACTATATGGGTATTGATTCCCATTAAATCAATTGTTTTAAGCTTGTTTCTGGCATTCATTACACTCTCCGACCTTTACTATCCTCACCACCCACCTTCTGAAGGGTGCACATTTCGTAGTCGAAAAAAAGGCATTTTATACATANCCCCCAGGCTATACATAGATTCAGACCCCTCAGCCTTTATAGGGTTAAAGATAGGCGCGAAGCACACTAAAAGCCAAGTAATATATGTTTATTTTATGCAGGCTTATTCATTGTTTTAATATTATAAGTTTACCATTAAACTGGTACTGTAAACTGGTACTGTAAACTGGCACTGTAAACTGGTACTGCAGGTACTGTAAACTGGTACTGTAAACTGGTACTGTAAACTGGTACTGTAAACTGGTACTGTAAACTGGTAATGTAAACTGCGGGAAAGTGCTATTTCTATTTTACATCTTATTTGCAATTGCATATTGCTGTAGCCTTCTTTCATAGTTCATGGATCGCTATCTTATATTAAAATATTTCGGCACTTTTCCTCAAAAGGAATAGTACTATCTATCTTTAAATCTGAGGACAAGGAGTTTGTTGAGAAATATGATCAAAAAACCCTAATTATGTCACTCTTTCTTATGAAATTGCAATGTCTTACATGGAAAAATGAATAGAAGTAAACTGTAAATAAATACATGATTTTTTATATTTTTTTAAGAGTTAATTTTTATTTTCTCAACCTGTTCCTAAACAACTAATTAGTTTACTGTAGAATTTTTGTTATTTAATCATAAAAAAAAACAATTTTCTAAACGTACCCACCCAAATTGATCATTTTGAACGTTGATTTTGCGCTCAAACTCAGTAATTGTAGATCCTGAAAACGTTTTTGTATGTCTCAAAAGAATCCTAAAAATTTACAATAATGCAATCTCAGTTCAACCGACATACATTGCCGGTCACTCCCTTTGATCATGATTAAAAATTGTAAAAAACTATGAAAATAAAAATTGGTTTAGTGGAAGCACAAGCTTCACTTGGGCTAACTGGGGTTTTTGCTGGTACAAGAATTCAAAATCACATGTGGTAATAAATTGTGATAAGAACTGAAATTAAAGTTAAAATGATTACCAATAAATACTTCTAGATTGTCCTGGAGAAGCTTATTGTAAGGAAGAGGGAGTAGATTTTGATGGGAGTACTATTGTAGAAGGTAATTATTGAAGTTTGGTTATCGTTAAAAGATTTTCATATGATCCATTTCATTTTATGAATTTTGGATTAATCTTGTAAAAACATAATACTGGATCTCACATAAATTTCACTAGAAGGGGATCGATCATTTATTCGGTGTATTGGTATTTATAGTTTTATTTACAGATGGAAGATCATGGAAGTTTCACAGATCTCTCTTACAAATTAATAATTCACATGTCTTTTGAAAAAGATGGTTTATACTAAAATTGTCATTATAAAAACTACAAAAAGTTACCGTATATTATTGCTAGAAAAATAATTTCAATGCTATATCTATTAGTTGGTGAAATTCAAACATTTGAGCTTTGTGGATGTCAATGTACTCGTGTCAGGCAACTATTATTAACATATCATTTTAACGAATTAACTTTTATTTTCATTTTTATTTTTAAAATGTTGTAGCATATCTTCCTTAAACCAACCTAAACAAATGGAATCATTTTGATTTCATTTCTTATCTCATATTACATTCAGTGCCTGCACACACTTTGTCTGGGATGGCAATGAAGCTTGCATCCTGAAAAAGGATTTAGGAAAAAACAAAATTTTTAAAGTTCCAAATGGTATTTCTGGACGCATCAAGGGGGATTGCAGTTTTTCAACAACAACAACAATAGGTATACATTTTTCAATTGTCATTTTTGGAGTTAAAAACCATTCTTCAATAAATAAGTTTTAAAATGCATTAGATTTATTCTTTACTCCAATAATCAAAGGTGATTGTATACAGACAGAGTGCTATTTGCTAGGCTTTAACATAGTTGGATATGATATAGGTATCAGATAAAACATTGTTTAAAATTTATTTTTCAGTTTTTATATAATACTTTTTAAGGCTGGACTGATAACATATCTTCTCCTGAGGATTGTAGTTGCTTTTGCACCAAAATCAGGAAATAATACCTTACTTCAATAAGCAAAAAGTGCATATATTAATAATGAGTAAGATTATTATCTAATTTAAACGTATCAGACCTTTTTTCTACTTTCAAATTTTATTATTCATCTAAAATTATAAAGGATAGGATTTTCAGCCTCTCACTTTATTTACAAAATAACATAATATTATATTCAATATTGGTTTCCATTATTTTTCATTGTCCTTTTCAAATTTTTATTTTTCCTGAAAACGCATTCCCATTAATAATTATCCATTTAATTTTCTGATTTACTTCCCCTCCCAAGGGCGGAGCAAAGTTCCTTAAAAAAAACGGAGGTTTCCAAAAATAAACGGAAGAGTCCGTTAATGAACGACAAAACTGTAACTTTTTAAATTGTTTAAATTGTTAAATAAGCCGTTTAAAAGTAAAATTAACTGCTGAAAACGAAACGATTTTTTTTTTATAAAACGGAAAACTTTCTTTTTTTCTGCTTACAATTGCATGAAACTTGTTAAAATATTTTTTACATTTTTTGATGTCTTTTGCTTGTTAATGCCGCTAATACTGTATTAGACCGTTTTAAGCTGTGCCATTATCAATTTTATTGACCGTTAATGAAATTTTTCGTTAACACCATTAATAAAATTAAGATCGTTAACTAACAGTAAACGGAAAATACCGTTAGCAGAACGAAGTTCCGTTTTACCCTAGGCTACCTGTGATTTTATTTAAAATCGGTTGGAACTATCTGTTAACAAAACAGCTAAAACAAGTTGGAACATGTTCACTGTCCAGCCATACCCCCTTCCACTTAGCAAAGATATCAGAACTATTAAATCCTTATTAACAATAATTTTTTTATATAATTTCTGGTTGGAAAAAATATAATTCATAAACCATTATTTTGATCAATCTAATTCTTTTTGCACCAAATACAAATAAAATTTATTTGTTAAAATTCTTAATTCGAAATTAAATAAAAAGTATTGCTTTAGTGGAAGTTTGAGTTTCACATGGAATACGTTAAGCACTAAGTGCTTTTGCAAACATTCAGTTCCAACAACATTTGGCATCTTGAACATTGCTATCTCAGGGATTTACAACTGTGACTCTGCTGAAACCAATGTTATCCTACCCAAACATAAAGGTTATTACTACAACTTTTCCTTTCAGCTTTTATTATAAAAAAACCCTACTCTATTTATATACACTATGAGGGAAATGGGGGGGGGGGGCGGAGCTAGAACTTATGAAATGTGTCTTGTTGGCTTATAAATCTACAATTAAAGGGACCGTCCTTGTACCTCATAAGTGACCCCCCAAAAGTGATCCCTTCTTTATAAAACTTTACTTGAAACCTTAAACTGGTCAATAATGCGGAAGCAATATAGTTTTTTTTGATCTTTTTGGATTGATTCTGATAATTCCTCCATTTTTTTAAAGTAAAAAATGTAGATAACGAATTAGTTTCCAAACCCAAAGCATGAATATTTAATTTATACTTGATCTGACTAAGTATTGTGACGCAGACCTCCCAATCTATTAATGAGGCGTCAATTGAAATTACACTTATAGTTTCTTTAATAATAAAATTCAATATAATTTTAGATTGTGTTGAAGATAAGTACTGTCGTGAAGATGGAGTTGAATATGGAGGGAGTAGTGTTGTAGAAGGTAAACTGAAAAATATAGTTATTTTTAAATTAAAAAATTTTAATTAAATTAATTAAAATTAAAATTAATTTTAATTTCAATTTTTTAGAAAAACTTTTTCTCTTAAAGTTGTTCAGAGTGACAACACCCAATACCAGTTGACGATTTTGAGATTTCAAAAAAATGTAAAATTGGCCCCCTTTCTTGTATAATATACCTTTTCTAATTATTAATTTAAAGGGAGTGACCAGCTATGCAGTGTTGTGGAAAACTTCTTTTGGATTCATTTGAAACATATTAAAGTTGTTAAAGATCTGTAAATCCTAACGACGACAAAAAATGTTAACAAAACTCTACAGTAAACTAAGTAGTTGTTTCGGAACCGGTTGAGAAAATAAAAATTAATCTTATCATTGAAAATAAGTAATCTTGTTCAATTATTAGTTTCTATTTTCTCATTATTCTAGTTCTGATTATTCACAAACATTTTCTGCAGATTTTCTTGAATTATTTTTGAAAAGACGACATTTGAAGAATTTTGAAAAATCTGCGAATAAATTCAAAGAAAATAAGAAATTCAATATAATGATAAAAACTAAATAATTGATTCTCATTGATTTATTGACAAATTTCTTTTGAGAAATATGTTCCCAACCAACTAATTAGATTACTGTATGATTTTTACTTTATTTTTCGTCGTCGAAAAAACCGATTCTGAAAAGGTATCCACCCCCAAAGTAGGTGTTTTGAACGTCGAATTTGCGCTCAAACTCAGGATTTACAGATCTTTAAAAAGTTTTATATGTCTCAAATGAATCCGAAAGAAGTTTTCCACAACACTGCATACTCAGTTCAACTACCTTACATAACCGGTCACTCCCTTTAACTCAAAAGGACATTGTCGGCATTATTCATAAAATTATTTTAAATCAACACGACAAGACATGTTTCAATGTTCATTTTAGTTTCTGGAATTGAGAGTTTTGAGGTTTGCGGATGTCAATGCAGTCATGTCAGGCAATATAATTTATTTTTTCGGGTTGTACATTTTCCAGAATGATGTGAAAAATACAAAAAATAAAAGATCTGGCAAATTTTTTCTACTGACCCTCCTCCAGTTAAAGAGTTACGTCCCAAATTCCTCTCTTTACACCTTTGTCTGAATAACATTGAGATAAGCATCATATTTTATATATTAAAAAAACATGTTTTGAATAAAATACTGTTTTTCATCTAGGACCTGCACTAATTTTTTCTGGACAAGCAACAAATGTTTTTTGAAAAAAGACAAAATCATGGATACCAAACAAGCTGTTGATGGTATTTCTGGACACATTAAAAGTAATTCCCCTTGTACAATAACAACAACAACAACAACAACAGCAACAACAACAACAGAAACAACAACATCAACAACAACAACAACAATTACAACAACAGAAACAACAGCAGCATCAAGAACAAGAACAACAACAACAACAACAACAACAACAACAACAACTACAACAACAACAACCACAACAACAACAACAGCAACAACAACAACAACAGCAACAACAACAACAGCAACAACAACAGCAACAACAACAGCAACAACAACAACAACAACAACAACAACAACAACAACAACAACAATAACAACAACAATAACAACAGCAAATAATACAAATACAAACTTTACAACTCAAACAAAACACAATGTATCATCCTCAACTATTTTAATAAATAATACAACATCACCTTCAACAATCACATCTACTACAAATACAACACCTACAACATCTTCAACCACTACAACAACAACAACTACCACAACAAAATTTAAGAGACATTGTAAGTATAAAAATATCACTTTTTCCCATTAAGAAATATTTTTTATGCTTGATACAATATGCCTACTATCACAAGACTTTGTAGAAATAATACAAAAGTTATAAAAAAAGCCTGAAAAAAATCGAGATACGTCTGCATGTCTTTGATTTTTATCAAGCTATATAGTCTTGTATTTTTTCATCAAACTTAATATTTCATAACTTATCATTTAATTTCACATTTTCATTTTTTAAAATTAATTTTATTTTTAAATTCAACATAATTTTATTTCTTGTCTACATAAATACAAAAATTTAATTTTTACCTTAACATCGGTTTTATAACATTTATGAATTTACAAATTAAGAATAGACTTTATTTTTGACCATATATCAATTAGAACTTTGTGCTTCCAAGTATTTTATTTCAAATTTACAGGTTTGACACTTTTTATCAAACACGTCAAAAGTCCGCTATTTTTAACAATAGCATTTTCATATGTTACTTTTGGTCTTGAAAATGATTTTGGAAAGCATTTATCATTTAAGAAAAATTTGCACAAAGGTGCGAAAACCTTTTATTTCTAACGTAAATTGTATACTGTTATTATGTTTACATTAGCAGGAAAGTTAAAAACACCCAGACATCTAAACAGGTAACAGAATATCCAGACATTAAATTACAAAATAATAAGAATAAAAATAAATATTTCAATCTATGTTAACTTATCAATCCAATTCTAGTCTTTCAGATGATGAAAATTGATGGTAAATAGGCATATTTATATTTTTTGACGATTTTCATTGTTATTATTTTCATAAAATAACAAATCAATCACTTTGATAATTATGATATCCTGGTTTGTTTTGTGCGTAAATTTTCAAAATAAGTAAAAATTGAGTTTTCCTGGCATAATATAAATCCTCGCTAATGAATTATGCACTTATTAATAAACTAATTTTTTGCACAATTAGCTCAGATTAATTAAAGTAATTATTGTCTTGGTTTCACCAGAATTTAATTTATTTTAATGAATTACTTTAGTAAAAGTATTTTACTTTTTAAACTGTTTTGGTTTGTTGTACTAGGTACTAGCTGCTCAGGAAACAACTTTTGTTAAATTTTCACAATTAAGGTTAAGTTATTTCAAGGCATACATCTTTTTCTTCCTAGGCCTCTTACTTTTTATGTTTCCAATCACTTTTTTAAGTATTATGAGTTGAAAATAGATATTCTGGACTTTTTCAAATTTTTCATTTTTGGGATTTTAATTTCATTTATTCATAAATTATAAAAAAAATTGACAGATTTTTGTAAATTTAATTTAGTAAGCTGTTGGATTTTTATCCATTCCAATTATTTCTATTTCTAGGTTCCATCGGGATTCCTCCCATGCAGAATTCCTCCCACGGGATTCCTCCAATGGGATTCCTCCCACCAGGATTTCTCCCATGGGATTCCTCCCCCATGGGATTCCTCCCCCATGGGATTCCTCCCACACGGGATTCCTCCCACAGGATTCCTCCCACATGGGATTCCTCCCACAGGATTCCTCCCACACGGACTTCCTCCCACAGGATTCCTCCCACAGGAATTCCTCCCACACAGAATTCCTCCTACTGAATACAGTGTAGATAAGTGTATATTTATTGGAGCAGCTGACAATCTAGCTTTAAACAATCCTCCTGCCAGGCGAAAGTATAAAGTCCTATCAGAGAGACTTGCTGCCAAAAACACCTATCAGGCCAGCCAAAACAAATTGGCCTACCTCAGAGCAGTTGCTAACATTTTCAGCTCTGTATGAATTCTAAAGTATAAATTTAAAAAAAAGAAATTTTAAAAAATATAAAAGATGAATAAATAATAAAAAGAAATAGAAAAAATGAGAAAAAATAATAAGTTTTTTAAAATCAAGTTGTATATTTATAAAATCAAGTTGTATATTTATAAAATCAAGTTGTATATTTATAAAATCAAGTTGTATATTTATAAAATCAAGTTGTATATTTATAAAAAAAAATTATTTTAGATTAGTTTACTAATTTTCTTGTGAATCATAATTTCCTATTTTTTAAAAATACTTCCTCTTCTAAAATATTCTTCCCTAAAAAAAATTAAAAATGGCGTGCTAAAATACTTGACCTCCTCGTAGTGCATGCTTGTTCAGACAGACAAAGTATAAAATCATATATGATCACTATAATATAATCAAATGCAGGGATCTTATCAGATGTGGATCCTTAGTTAACAACTGTGGGAGGAATTCCATGTGGGAGGAATCCCATGTGAAAGGAATCCTGTGTGGCAGAAATCCCATGTAGGAGGAATTCTGTGTGGGAGGAATTCTGTGTGGGAGGAATCCCATGGGAGGAATTCCGTGTGGGAGGAATCCTGTGTGGGAGGAATCCCATGGGAGGAATCCCGTTTGGGAGGAATCCTGTTTGGAGGAGTCCCATGGGAGGAATCCTGTTGGGAGGAATTCCATGACTATCCTATTTATAAAACTTGCCTTCTGTTATAATACTGGACATCATATTTATATCGTTTAATTTAGTTTCATCGTTTGTGATTTAAAGGCTTGAATTTTAACCTCGAACAAACTAAATTAAGTAAAATCCCGGCAAAAATAAAATTTCCAAAATAATACACAAGGCAATTTTTTATATAAAGTTATTCCTTCTTATACCGAATCACCTCAAAAAATCTAAAATCCCAAAAATTTATTAAAAATCCAGAATTTGTCAGTGTTCTGTGTTAGTTGAATTGGCAAGGAAGATTCATCAATTATCTTCCTGGTTTCTGAGGCGTTAATACAGATCAAGGAAGGCAATCGAAAAAACTATCTGAGTGCCTTTAATCCAACTCAGAGACTTTATTGGAGATCAGCTGGAGTCCAGACCACCAACTGAACATGAGTTATTACAATTTGTGGAGAAAGGAATGGCTTCATCCAGTCTTTGGACAATCTACAGTAAGATCAACTCTGTGTTAAAGGGAAAATATTCATTTAGTATTTAACAGTACTACAGTCTTACAGAGTGACAATTCTGCTGAAAAGCCATGATGTTGATATCAAACAAAAGGCTAATGTGTTCAGCACCAGTAACATTAAACAGTTTCTTTTGGATGCTGATTCTTCTACTCCTGCTGTGATAACGATACCATTAAGGGCTAGAGCCGTTAACAAATGTTGAAAATTTTTCGTTAACGCCATGAATTAAATTTAAAATTAATTTTTAAAAAAAACGGAAAATGCCAATAACAGAACAAATTTTCTGTTCTTACTGTCAAAATTAACGGCTAACTGAAATTTTTATTTTTTGACGGTTGGAACTAACCAAGAACGAAACAGCTAGAAAAAGCTGGAATTAGGGTTTCCAGTCGTAATTTCGTTACGCGTAATTACGAATAACGAAACATAACACTTTCTTTCACTTACGCAGGAGCATTACGCGTAATTACGCATATATTACGTTTACGAAAGAAAGTCTAGTTTCGCGTAATTAAGGCGTAATTACGCGAAATTAAGCGAAATTACGTTGTAGAAATTACGCGAAATTACGCCGTAATTTCGCGAAATGGATATTTCTCCAATTACGCGTAATCCTGCGAAATTACACGAAATGAAAACTATTACGCGTAACTGCACGTAATTACGCGTAAGAGAATAATCTATTACGTTGGAAACCCTAGCTGGAATGTACCAAGCCCTAGACTGATAAACGAGCAAGTAGGTTTCTGGTTCCTAGTAAAGTAACAGTGCTGATATTGTTGACCAATACATCGGCACCATTAAAGAGAAGCTCAGGAAATTTATTGGTTGTCTTCTTTGGAAATGCAAAATCTTTCCTTAATCAACCAATGGGTTGCAATATGGTTTCTAAGGTTCCTTCTGATATGGTGGAGAGACTACAGCTGGACACCCGCGGTGGATATAATTTTCATTCTTAAAGGCGGTCAGCAGCAACTGCAGTTGCTAATGCAGGTGCCACCTCAGAACAGATGAGAGACTGTATTGGATGGGCCCGCACAAAGATGCCAGCTGTGTACATTTCAACTTCTAAGGCAGCTGTTATCAATGTTGCCAAAAAGCTAGCAGTATCTGAAAAGACCATAGCTACCTCCCCAGCTTCTACTACTGTTGAAGAGGTTGCTGTTGTGGATAAGGAGAAGGAGATAACAACCATGGAGTTGAACAGGGGGGATGTGAGTGAGGAGCTCTGGGATGTGGTGGTGAACCAGACTGAGGTTGTCACTCACCAACAATCTAGAGTCCCCAGCACCAGGAACATCAGATGAATCCCATGAAGATTTAGGTTGGAGGAAAAGTGTTTTATCTATCAAACTGTTTTATTGAAAACTTCACCTGTCAGACTTTTGTAATGATATTATTTATGTATTTAAAAATAAACTAATAAATACTTTTTTTCAGTGAAAATTTTAAGCATGTAATTTAAAAATCTTTTGGGGCATTACTTTTCATAATGTCCCAGGACAGGTATGAGATATTATAGCCCAGAAGATTTTCAAATTAAGAAAAATATATGGGATATGAATTCTCTCAAAATGGAATAAAAAATATAATTAGTATTGAAAACTAAAAGAAAACTATGGTTTCACGATAGATCGTAAGAACTTTGCCCAGTCAACAATAATTATTCAAATATTTCTTTTTTGGAAATCATTCCACAGCTAGCTTTTTCATAAAAACCCATCTCTGCAACAAATTTTCAACTTTTTTAGATTTTTGACTTTTAATCAAAAAAGCGGTTGTAACAAATAAAGTGTGATGCATAGAAAGAAAAAATTGAGAACTTCAAATAACTGAAAAATAGAGCTTTCAAAACACCTTGACTGTTAAAATTGAACGAACATATTTCCCTCCACACACCCAAAACCCCTACTGCAAAGATTTTTTGAGACATCCTAAATTTAAAATTGAACCCTGTTCTGCTCAAATCAATCATTGTTTTGGATATTTTTTGTTGAAACTTTATGATGGTTTGGATTGAATTATAAAACCCAATTTAAACTTTTAAAACTAAATGACATTTGGAATGTTTTAATAAAACTTTTTTATTTTGACCTGTTTTGATCAAATTCAATTTAAACTTTAAATTTGTTTCTTTTATCTTTTAAAATATATTCAATGCTTATGAAAGTTATTGGTTTTGAAAAATTTCTATTTTATAATTTTTTTTGATTTATTGAAAGATGTATTTGATTTTATTTAAATAGTGCATTGTTCTCACTTCTCCATCTTTTATGTTTTTAATGACATTTTTTTAGAATTGATAAGATAGGGTATATATCCTTTAAATTATTTTGTTCCCTTTTTACCTAATATTATTTTTTTTCTACTCCAAATCAACGAATATTACTTTTTCCTTTTAAGATGAAAATGTGCGAATTTTTTTCTCAAAAACTTTGCAGAGCAGGTGGTCATTTTACTTAATCGTCCAAAGGGAGGTTAAGTTACTTAATATCCCTGGAAATTGTTAATAACATTCTTAGCACCCACATCTTTAAAAATTGATATTTGAAAAGTAAAACTCTACTGACAAAAATAGAGAGGAAGGTATAGTTTCTGTCTTTTTTTTAACTCTTTCTAATATTTTAAAATTTAAAGATAAATTAAAGGAGCAAAAAGCTTAATTTCTAGTGACCCTCCATGGAAAGATGGCAAGGTTGGAGTCACAACGGTTCCCTTTTAAAATATTTATGTTTCTGATTACTTTTAATTGTGGTTTCTCTTAAAACTGCGCATTTCTACTACAGGAAAGCATTTAGGAATTATCAGAATTTAACACTTCTTTTAAAGCTGAAAAAACGACAATATTTTCCACATTATTGATCAGATAAAGGTTCCAAGGGTACCGTTGTGAATCATACACTGCCATCTTTATATGGAGGATCACTTGAAATTACTCTTACGATCTCTTTAACATAGACAGTGGCAGGCCCCCCTTTACAGTGCAGTGGAGTCTACTTAATCACAAACCTCGTTTTTAGTTTTCTTCTTGGAATTTCTCAAAATTTCAGAATTTTTTTAGTTTGTCTTTGATAAAATATAGTGGAGAAAATTAAGTAAGTTTCACAAAATTATGATATTTTGAGAAAATCAAAAACTGCCTTTTTATACTTTCCCGAAACTTTTTTATTAAGGGCAACTTGAGTTTGTAAAGGGTATAACTTGAGTTTGTAAAGGGTATAACTTGAGTTTGTAAAGGGTATAACTTGAGTTTGTAAAGGGTATAACTTGAGTTTGTAAAGGGTATAACTTGAGTTTGTAAAGGGTATAACTTGAGTTTGTAAAGGGTATAACTTGAAAACAATTATTTTTCAAATCAATTTTTAATGAAATATTTATAGTTTTATATTTCAATGGCAGTTTGAAAGGTTTCATTCAAACCAATCTAAACTTTAGAATATTTAAAACTATTTTAGTTATTTCTTTCATGTTTAATTTATTTTTTGGCTTAAAGGGACTGCCGACATAATTTCAAGTGAAGTGACCCTCTATTTACACAGGGAGTTACAACAGTGCTCTTTGAACTTGTGTCTGAGCTAAAACTATGAAAACCTCTATGTTTTTCTCTCTGAAAACTTCTAATTCTCATAGCTGATTTTATTCAACAAAGAATCTCATTTCCATCAATCATATTTAAAGATGGGTAAACGAAAATATCTCCCCCCATTGTTTTTCAGAAGATGAGGATTTTAAGGGTACCGTTGTGAATAGATTAGCTCTTGAAATTACGCCTAAAGTGCCTTTAAAGAGTAGGAACAGATAGATGCCCGTTCTGAGATAAGGAACAGATA